AAGTCATGCCAGACTTCTGGGGCTCCTCCTTCTCGTTGGTCTTGGGCAAGAGCTTCTCGTCCTCCTCGGTGCCCAGCTCTTCATCATCGTGCGACTTGAGGTTCTGAACGCTGTCCTCCATCGGGTCCAACTTGGTTAGCTCGTGGAGAGTCGCGGCGTCGGTGGAAGACGAGGCGAAAGAGCCCGCTCGCTCGGTGCGGTAGTCGTCAGTCATGGTGGGCAACGAAGAGAGATGGCGAGACGAGGTAGTTGGTGTGGAAGTAAAAGAAAAGCAGACAAGCTGAGTGAGTGAGTGAGATTCGAGTCCACGGTAATGAGCGGGAGCAAAAGGAAAAAAAGGCGGGCAGTCGGCGAGGCGGTGCGTGAATTCAGGCGAGGGCCGGTGCTGATGGATTGAGATCGTCGCCAGGTAAGGGCTTTGGGGTCCTATTTCAGTGTACCATGGGAAGTCGGGTTGCACAAGGGAGTGTCGAGAGTGCAAAGTCGTCGGTTCGTTGGAATGCTTTAAAGGGAGACGCCTCGTCTGGTAGAATTCCGAAGGGCAACCGCGGAATTGAAGGGACAGGGAGTAAAGTAGACAGACGGGTGCAAATATAACGAAAGTCGTATGGAAGGTCCGAGGCGGCGGCGTCCCAAAGTAAGTACGTCGTTCTTGCCCGCCTGGTCTGCCAGTTTTGGGGTCTCGTTCTTTCTCTTTTGCGTCAGACTCAGGGCAAAAAGGCTGGCGGGGGTCTCGGTGGTGGTAGTACGGGCAAAGTACGAGACTACCTGGGAGGTTCCTTCCCTAGTCGTAGCTACTAATAGTTACTAGGCAGTGACCAGCACCTACCCCGGGCTGAAAGCAGAGAGAGCAAGAGCAAAAGCAGGGATGAGGGATGAGGGATGAGAAGGAAGGAGGGAGACGTAAGGAAAGGGCAGGGGAAGGTGCGGGCCCCACGACCCCGTACCGGGACTTGCGACGTGCGATTTGCGACTTCCATGTCCATCACACACATTGATGATGATTCTGGCACTCCCGTTGCTGTGTCGCGGCGCACACTCTCTCAACTTACCCACACAGACTTGCGCACCGCTGACAAGACTGCATAGAAACAATGTCTGCATTCCGAAAGCTTGGCACACGCTTAACCATCGTGACGAGAACCAGCTAGTTAAGCTGTGGCTGCATTGCTCTCTTCTCTCTCGATCCGGCGGCATGGACCATAAAGTAGCCAGCCGTCCCATCTGAACAAACAAGACGAGGCCAAACCCTGCTCTGCCACCCCGCCATCGCTGCCGCCGCCCTTCCTTCCCTGGGAGAACGCCCAGTACAAGGCTGCAAGCCATTTGGACCATGGTCCGTTTCCCTGGACTCGGGTTTAGGGGGGCATCGACTCCTGTACCCTACGGATACAAGCACCAAGGTCTTGAACGTCCTTACACCAAGACATAGAAAAACACCTGCAGATCGAGATGGCTGCATCAAAAGCCACCAATCCAACCGGACGCAAGCCCACGGGCTCCTTGAACTGGACGGGAGCTGGTTTCTGGAGACCGCCTTTCTTTTCTGGTCTGTCTCTCTCTAACTTTTTCTGCCTGCCTGCCTGCCTGCCTCGCCCTCATCTGCCACGGTGGCTTTCCTTCTCTTCCCCAAAACAGAGTCTTGTAGCGCACATTGTGTAGGTATCCAAACGAGTACATGTTGTGGTCCACACCACGTAAGTTAGCGCCAAGCCACTAATACTTCGTAAGCTTCAGCCCCGCTCAAGATCCAATTAGACCCGACTCGACAATCTGCAAGTCTCTCTTCACCCGTCGTACCCGTCACATCTGCAACACCACAGCATGGCACCAAACCCGCCGTATGCAGCGCACTCGCACTCGATCTCGACGTTAGCTTCGCTCCAGTCGGGTCCCGTCGTCAGTGTTCTTGACACCTAGGGCAAATCGGAACACGAGATCTTACTGTTCTTCACCCGGCGATCGCTCGTTGCACCTGGTGCCGATGCTTCGAGCAAGAACGAACGCAGCCTCACATTCTGCATCAAGTCGTTTGATCAAGCAGGTCGACAAGCCATCCTCCGCGAGCAGCTCAAGAAGTAACGGACAGCCCGATATGCGCCCAACTCTCTCCGACAGCCGCCCCAACTTTGTCTAATTGTCTGCACTCTCGCTCTCGCCGGCATCCCAGCGTAAACTTTCTGTGATCCGATCCAATTCGCACACGCGTCACCGTGTGGACCGTGGGCAATGGCCTTGACACAGAGAGGGTTTCGACGGAGCTTCCCCCTGGGATGGCGGCTGCTCTTGAGGGACACACGGCGCTGTTCCCATGGTTGCGCCGGTTCGCTCGGTTCCTTCTGGGTCGTCTTGCTCCATCGACTTGAACCAACTGTCCAGCTGTCAAAAATTCTCGCGGATAGAGTTTAGTAGAACAATTAACGCCTAGATTGGAAAGTTTACTCCCTGAGACATTGGAGTCACAGTACGAACCTCCGCCAATGCTGCCAAGTGGCCTACTTCCAGCCTCGCTCCTTGTCGCCAATATCTCTCGACGTCTGAAGGAATGCACCATGTCTTGGCCGCTGTCGCAGCTCATTCCAGCGGTCCTTCAGCATGAACAGCATACAATGTGCCGCAGCGCAACGGCATCTTCTGCCGTTCGTCTGTCGGATTACTCCACCGTTTCCCGCAAATTCTGGCGCGGCCAACCGTTGACGAGACTCTGAAATGTCTAGGACATGGGGGGTTTGAAACGAGCCGACAGCAAGTCATGTGTTTTGGCTGGGCAGCAGCGTGCAGTTACTGCAGTGCCTGGCATCTGTCGCTGGAAATGCCGTCCATGGTCCTGATCCATGATCGTCACTGCCCCTGCGCCAATCTCATCTGAAGACGCAAGCATGCAAGTCGAGTCCGCACAGCCGGGAGGAACGGGGGTTCCATGGTCTTGCCGGCTCCCTTGGACGCCAGAATTAGTTGGCCTTGTACGGCGTAGGCCGCTCGCTTGACTTGGGGGCCATCTGTCGTCGGCTCATCTTGCCCAACATCCCTCGCGATGAACATGTCAGCGATTGCGTGGAATCTGGCTACCGTCCACTCCATGCCAGTCTGGTGTTGACTACTATTGTCTCCTCCCTCCGATAAGTCATCCTCGAGCGTTTCAGCATTCCCCAGAGAGACCCTGAGGCAATGTGGTCTACCATGGTGCTTTGGTCGATTCGTGGCATGAGGGGGAGGATGGGAAAGATGAGCACCACATTCTTGCGCGTCTGCCACCCCACATAGCCCATTGCAAGCCACCAGGGACGCGCGCCCGGCCTCCCCAGCATCGACGGCGCCCGCTGGCGCCGGAGCTGGTGTTGCCTTTGCCCATCACGGCTCCACGTTCGAGGAGCCGGGCGAGTGGGAGAAGCCGGCTTAGCACGCTCCGCTGTCGCCATCGTCCGTCAGCCAATGGAGCATCATGAGCCGGAGACACATTCGTCAGTCTATCCGTGAACGTCGGCCCTAGAGTGGCTCGTATCGGATGTTTACAGCATTGGATGACTGCATCTGTGGCGTCCGTCACGGGCCGGTTCACGAGCATGTTTCTTGCTGTCGTGTTTACTCGCAGACTAACTCGAAGCTCCTCGACTCTCACTGGAAGGTGTGACCGGGGACGGAGCTCGATGAGCACACAGCTGCATCTAGGTCTTGGCGGTGTGATGGAGTCAAAGTGTAAGTACTTGGAGCCAGGGTTGCAAAAGGTGCGAAATCGTTCTACTGTGTAGACCTTACTGAACGTGGGCATGTTGGACATTCCAGCGCTTCTTAGCCCCTGACATTCTTTTTATTGTTTATTTGCCCCTGCTACCCCTGCTTTCTCCCTGATGAACGAAAAGAGCCCAAAGTATCACGGAGGTAAGGAGGCCAAGAAAGTGATGAAGAGATTGGTTGCGAGCCCCATCCCTCTAGGCGCAGAAGCAAAAACAGCGTATTGTCAGACAATAGGCTGAAAAGGAACTAGCGGCCGGTCTGGAGGCGTTTGTGGAATGGTCCCCCGCCCACGGCGGCCACGGCTGAGAAGCCAGCTGAGACTGGGACGGGCTGGGAATCTCAGGGCACTGGTCTATCTGTGGCTAGTTGACAAACTATTCCGTCTCGACGCCTCGTGGTCGGCCGTGCCGCCATGATACCCGTGGAAAGCGGTGTCTTGGACGTACGTAGTTGCTCTCCCTAGTTTCCATTAGCTTGCGCGGAAAGAAGGGGTCCCATTCCATTGGGAAGTCTCGTTTAAATTGGGGTTGCATCTGTCAAGTTGCTGCACGGCATCTCATGAAAAGAGCGGCTCCGGCTGGGTATGGATTGGGTTTTTGGGAGGGACAGGTGTTGGGAAGGGAAGCAGAGGGTAAGGGTATGGGTACCGAGAAAGTACCTGTCGCCTTGGACATCAGAAAGCAAATACGTACCGTTACTTGTCCGGTTCAACTCGCTGCCAATCGGCTCTCGAGTCTTGATGCCTTTCCGTACGTATCCCAGCATCACATGATCCGTCAACTCTCAATAGTGAGTGTATTATGTAAGGCACATTCCCCGGTGATCGATACTCGAAATCGCCCGTTCTGACACGTCTAGATACGCCGTTCAAAATACAAGCTTTTGCCGGCCAAGTGTCTGCAAGCTCCGGACAAAACTGCGCCGTGTGCGTAATGCCGGGAGACTGGAGCTGTATTTTATTTTTGGGACATCGCGAGGGGCCGCGGCGGGAGAGCCTGAGAAAGTTGTCGTGGACGCAGCCTGTGCCTGGATGCCATGCCAGGGTTCCCTTGGAAAGTCCCCGGTTCGCACTAATCACGCAGGTGCTCGAGGAAAAAGCAAGCACATATACCTCGCTGTTCGCATAGGTAGTAGGTAAGCTGCTGCGATAGTCAGTGGCAGTGGCTGACGTATAATACTGAGGAATCGAGAGTGATGGAAGAGATTGAGAGTACGGGTGCAAAGTACAGATACTTTGAAAACACAGGCAAGCGTCATGTTTCAAGATGTTGCTTCCCAGCCAAGACCCTCTTGGTGTCCACCCCCACCATCCACCTCCCAGTCTCGCTCCTCCGTACCACATTACGGATGTCACAACTATTATTTGCGATCCCATTCTCATCGCACTTGTTATACTGCACTTGTCTAGTACCCAAGTACGGTCAAACTGTTCCTTTCCCACCATTTACCGCAGCACCTGCTTCGAGGGCAGCAGGCCGGCAGCAGCAAGTAGCCATCGCACCATCCACTTTCTCCCACACCGGGCTAGATCGGCATCCATGAGATTGCCCCCCAAAACATCAGCCAAGCACCCACACTCAATCGGAGCGACGACCGTGGCTGCAGTCGTAATCGCAAGGAAGCCACATCCACAGCTGCTAACCAAAATCTGAGTGAGATAGAGAGAGAGAGAGAGAGAGAGAACCCAGCTAGTTAGCTGACCTACCTACATGTCCCGCTGTACTCTATACATGATCCAAGCTACTCTGATCCCGCTGCGTACGACTAACCTGAATCTATCTCTCAAGTCTCTTAATTAGAGACGGAGAGACGTCAAGAGACACGTTGCCAAGTACTCGCCGCAGCTCGGGCCGGTACTTGATTCTATCCTGGAGCTACGGATACCCGCCCTGTACCTGGTCGTCTATGCTCGTTCCCCAGTCGAGCTTACGCCAATCATCTCGGCCCTTGCTGATCTGCTGTCCACCGACCGCCTCAACTTGGGATGCCTCTTACAGCCTACGCACACCATCTCATTTGAACGCCTACGACGGTTCCATATGCACCTTGCCGAAGCTATCTGAACTCTGGCTGTCACTCTGCCACAGACTTTTTAAAGGTGGCAGGTATCCAGTTCTTGCCCTCCAGACCTCCGTGCCACTGCTCATCTCAGCCTACTGCATCCATCATCTCGTGAGACGGAACAACAAGCGACTAACCACAAAAAAATTGGGCTGACAGAACTCCTTGAATTCTCTCTCTCCCTCATACCTATCACCGCCGGTCCTGCCCACTCACTTGCTCCTGCCAATATTTCTCACTACTAGCTACTACCACTACTTTTTCGCGCTGTCAATACGACTGATTCGCCATAGCCACTCCGCTTGGCTCTCACTAACGAACCATCCATCCTTCAACCACCGCGGACCACGTTCGGCCTCCCTTGCCTCAGTTGCGCGCGACTCGGGGTGGTGTGAGTGAGACAGAACAGGGCACAGATCGCCAATGGCCTCGATTTAGACGTGATAGGGATATCCCATATCTGAGGTAAGATTAATTGCCCGACATGAGCGTGTCTTGCGTGTGGGCATCCAGCTAAACTCACTTTTAGGGCCACATACTCTCTCCCTTGAAAGCCCAGCTGGCTTTCCCTACTTGTACTTCAACCTCGCACAAGCCTGACTCGCAATCGAACTCGAACCTTAAACTCTCTTCGAGCTCCCGACACCGACCAGTCCGCACGACTTTCCTCAACCTCTCTCACACGCACACAACCAAACGACACGCCAATTTACAACAGAGATACCGTTCCGACCGTCGAAATGACTCAACTCAACGGCCAGAATCGCGCGCCGAGCAGTACGTTGGAAATCGTCCTTATCAACCCTTATCACCATCCGTGGTTGCTAACCCTCAATCCAAGCCTACAGCAATGGTCACGGCAAGTTCTTCCAGGATGGAGGTATTTGGAAGGAGGCGCCCTTGCTCAAGGGTACCACCAAGTTTGAGCCTCTTCCCGATGTCAAGAACATCATGATTACCGGCGGCGCAGGCTTCATGTAAGTCGCGGTCTTGGCACTGCGGTTGGACCGCAAGCTAACAAAATACCTCAAGCGCATGCTGGCTCGTCCGTCATCTCACTCTCACTTACCCCGACGCATACAACATCATCTCATTCGACAAGCTGGATTACTGCTCATCACTGAACAACACTCGGGTTCTGAATGAGAAGTCAAACTTCACCTTTGTCCACGGCGACATCACCAACCCCACAGAAGTCCTTCACTGCCTGAAGCGGTACAACATCGATACCGTCTTCCACTTTGCCGCCCAATCACACGTCGATTTGAGTTTCGGTAACTCATATGGATTCACTCACACCAACGTGTACGGCACCCACGTTCTGCTTGAGAGCGCCAAGAGCGTCAACATCAAGCGCTTCATTCACATCTCTACCGATGAGGTCTATGGCGAGGTGAACGATGACGATGACGACCTCCTCGAGACCAGCATCCTCGCACCCACGAACCCTTATGCTGCCTCCAAGGCTGCCGCCGAGATGCTTGTCCAGTCCTACCAGAAGAGCTTCAAGCTCCCCGTTATCATCGTGCGCAGTAACAACGTTTACGGACCGCACCAGTTTCCCGAGAGTATGTCATCAAAATACTTGAATACCTATCGAATGATAGCTGACCAACTCGCTCAGAAATCATTCCCAAGTTCAGTTGTTTGCTGAACAGAGGCCAGCCCGTCGTCCTCCACGGCGACGGAAGCCCCACCCGTCGCTACCTGTTTGCTGGCGACGCCGCCGATGCATTTGACACCATCCTCCACAGGGGCCAGATGGGTCAAATCTACAACGTCGGATCCTACGACGAGATCTCCAACATTGACCTCTGCAGCCATCTCCTCAAGGAGATGAAGATCCCCTTCTCTACGACGGACGAGTTCAAGAAGTGGGTTAAGTACACACACGACCGTCCCTTCAACGACCACCGCTACGCCGTCGACGGCACCAAGCTGCGCCAGCTCGGCTGGGACCAGAAGACGAGCTTCGCCGACGGCCTGCGTATCACTGTCAACTGGTACCGCCAATTCGGCGAGGAGTGGTGGGGTGACATCACCTCCGTTCTCACGCCTTTCCCTGTTGTCCAGGGACTGGATGTCTCTGCCGACCAGGAGCCCGTAGCCGACTCACCGCCTACTCCCGAGTCGAAGAAGAGAAAGGTGATTGATGGTGTCAACGGCACCAACGGCCACTCTGTTAGAGCATAGACCACACGCTCACGAGTGGACGAGTGATTGGGAGGGAAGGAGAGTGGGAATGAACGAGAGACATGAAAATTGACATGAGGAAGGGTGTGCTCCTTCAATTGTTACGATGTAGATCCTTTTAGAGACGTGCAACACGGTCTGGCGTATGGCCAAAGAAAGCTTGGCAAGTTTGCAGAACACACAACACAACAAACACAACACATTTTTCTGGCTCCGGTTTATGGCGGGGGCGTAAAAGGCACACAGTATGGCGGTTCAATCATAGAGAGAACATATGGTCGATGGTCGGCAAATCAAAGCTTTTCACCAAATGTCAAGTCCATATTTGATATGCATATGTGATGTGTTGGCTCGATAGCCTTTGTGAGACTTCTTTGATATTGTTGTACATGATGACGGGCGACTGTTACCCAAGTAGAGTAGAGGGCCAAGACAACCCATGAAAGTGAGGAAAGGCGTTGCGTTATAGCTCAAAGAGCAATGATCAGGTTATTCGTATCGTTGGGCCCACGTGCAGTTTCTTCTGCTTCTATCCTTTGTCATCTGCATGTTATGCAATAAAGTAATGAACTCTTACAGTCATCGTCATCCATTCATAGAATGAAGTTGGTCCCCCCCCCCCTCTTCTCATGACAACATGTGGGCCAAGGTGTAAGCGAGAGAGGGGGCAGCGGTGGTGGCATGCAGGTTTACACGTTTGATGTTGGTTCTTGTTGGAGAGTGAACCATCTCTTTGGGTTCTTTGCTTTGGTACCGAGGCAAGGGGAGGCAACCGGAACAACAGGCATATTGACCTGGTCTAGGGGTATCGTTATCCTGGAATACACAAGCTCAGATGATGATCGTCTCGAATTCTTTCAATGGGATGGACAGGCAGACTGGCTACATTGCATGGTCTGAGGAGGGGGGTTTTCCCACGTGTGATGATGGCTGTGAAGCTCGTGAGCCGCGCCTCTCGGAGACTTTTGGCGACATTCGGCTGTGGATGGTCATATTGCTTTTTTCTTGGTATTCCTTCTTTGCTCGTGATCCTTCGCATGAGGGGAGGGGAGGAGGGGGCTGGACCACGTGTTTTTCATTCTCTCTTTCTGACATGCAGATGCAGGGGGATTTGTTGCTGGGTTCCTTTGATTGTTTTTAGGGTATTCAAGACTTGAGCAAACCAGCCTAATGGCCCGGGAAGTTATCCTTCTTTCTCCCATTTCCACATGCTTCTTGTTACTGCTGTTCTTATTATTTCCCCCGCTTTCTTTCTTAGGTCCTGGTGTCACTGTTAAATGGTCAATGGACCATCTGTACGGACAGAGTGGTCGAGAGACACAAGGGAAAAGGTCTCGACCCCTATGAACGGTACGATTACTCCGCTCTCCCCTCTCTTCTCCTCTTGAGAGGTCGTCAAGGGAAGGAGGGCAAGGCAAGGTAAGGTACCGCGCGAATGGTTCGAGATGGATTTACACCCCGGTCATTCAACTTTGGTTGGTTCGGGATCGGCCTTCTCGGAGGCGGAGGGATTCAAACTTGTTCTCTTTGACATCGAGGTACGGATGGATACCTACCTGCTCCATGAGGTTTGTGTAACCTACCTAGATTGGCAGGATTGGTAATGCCGTGCAGCAGTAGTAGATAGCTCACCTCTCCTTCTTGCGTTGTTCCGGCTTGCTGCTGGTGCCACCGGTGCATATTGAATTACCTATCTAGCTACGAGCGATAACCATCGGGCTCTTGTCCATCTCCGGACCCCACCTTGTACGGACTTCTTCAATTTTATCGAAGGAGGGGAATTGATGTCCCATCTGGGATTCGATTGAACATGATGGGCTGGTGGGCTGAAGATTGGAGCGAACGTCAAGTACATAGCAAGGTACAGGAAAGTCACGGCCGAGGAATAGCCCTCCTTATCGCACAGGATGGAGCCTGGATGAGGGCTGGACAGTACATTTCCCGCTTTCTTGGTGGATAAATCTCGTAGATAGATAATAATCCTGTAAAACTGCTAGACAACGGTCCTTGAGGCTTGATTCGTGTGAACTGCTTGACCCCCTCTCTCTCTTCTCTCTTTTCTTCCCTTTGGGTTCCCATCCTCTTCCCCCTTGGACGTGCTTGAGCTTCTGGGTAAGGGCAACATTAGGTGTGGTGTGGGCGGGGGTCCCGGGGGAGGGAGACGACCTACCTTGACCCACAACGACCCGGACCCATCCATCCCCGAGACCCGGGCCAACCAGAAGTGGCAGCGAGAGACCTGGAAGGGAGAGACAGAGCCCCCGAGGCGCGGTTGTGGGCTCTGAAGCTGTGGTTCGGTGGGGTCTGAAGGGGAAAGCCCAAGCCTCCAAGGTTCCAACGGCGGGGGCCACGAAGAGGGGGGGGGGGCTGTCCCTCATCCTTGGGCCTGGGAGTCCTTGGGCGCACCGCGGCGATGGAGAGTTCTGAACGAGTGCCTGTGCGTGGGTTTTCCCTTTTCTTTGAGCCCAGACTTCCGTCCCATGCTGTTGGGAACAATATCGCGGGTGGGAGCCGGAATTGGGGTAAAGGATGCGCATAAGGGTTTGGTATGCTTTGCTTACCAATGGCGAGGAGGAAGTAGCATGTATCGTACTCTCAGAGGTCAAGAAATGAAGTGATGCCAAGGTAGGCAGTGGAGGGTATATTGCAGCTTGCCTGCAGCCTCCGTCTACTACCTCAAGTGCTTAGGTGCAGTAAGGTGCTGACTGCCCGTACCGGCGGTTCCCTGAAATCGTACCAGTCCTCGTTTCTAGACTTCATTCTAGATGAGGGGAAGAAAACGAAGGAGGCAGATGGTCCATCATAATTT